AACAAACGTTTGCGAAGCGTTGAAACGTCCAACCAAATCTAGAAGCAAACAATCTGGCGTTCAACTTCCCATTTCTATTTCTGAATTTTCGATGTGGTATACAACAAGTCCATTGGAAACACCACATCATTCACACGTCACATCATCATTTGTAATGCTGTGACTTTTCCCAATCAAGTGGTGGGAGGGCGGGAGTCCCTTTAAAACAAGGGGCAATTTTTTCACCCACCCCGTTCATCACTCCCACCCAAAAAATTGGGAATTATCGGGTGCTCTGACACTTGGCATCATGTCACTTCGTGTCAACGTTCGACAATGATGGAATCATGACCCATCCAATGCACCTACAACAAGATCAGCTGGAACCACGACCGGCCTTGGATTTACCCCCGACTGTGCAATTGCTGGAAGCAAAAAGGAAATCAATATAAAGTCCGAGTGTTGTGCGCCTGTGTTCTCTTTTTCGAAGTGTCGGCAACTGCGTTTTTTGTAGTAAGTTTTATTTATGTAAATGGTACATTTACATGAATACTGCTTACCTTGCATCACAACGGTACACCATATAATTTAATATAATTATATGGATTGCAAATTAACATTTGGAACTTCCACCACCAGTGCTGACTTAGTCTCAACCGATCCTGGTTTTGTGGAGAAATAAGATGTCACTCTTTTGAAAAAAGATGAAAGCATTATTTCTCCAAACAAAAATTTGTGAACCCTCACAAATAAGGATCAAAGGTAATCTTCTCTGGTTGGTGGTAAACAAACGTTTACTAAGTGTTGAAACATCCAACCAAATCTGGAAGCAAACAAATTGACGTTCAACTTCCCATTTCTATTTCTGAATTTGAGATGTGGTATTCAACAATTCCATTGGAAACACCACATCCTTCACACGTCACACAATCATTTGTAATGCTGTGACTTTTCCCAATCAAGTGGTGGGAGGGCGGGAGTCCCTTTAAAATAAGGGGCAATTTTTTCACCCACCCCGTTTATCACTCCCACCCAAAAATTGTGGAAATGGGAATTATCGGGTGCTCTGACACTTGGCATCATGTCACTTCGTGTCAACGTTCGACAGTGATGGAATCATGACCCATCCAATGCACCTACAACAAGATCAGCTGGAACCACGACCGGCCTTGGATTTACCCCCGACTGTGCAATTGCTGGAAGCAAAAAGGAAATCAATATAAAGTCCGAGTGTTGTGCGCCTGTGTTCTCTTTTTCGAAGTGTCGGCAACTGCGTTTTTTGTAGTAAGTTTTATTTATGTAAATGGTACATTTACATGAATACTGCTTACCTTGCATCACAACGGTACACCATATAATTTAATATAATTATATGGATTGCAAATTAACATTTGGAACTTCCACCACCAGTGCTGACTTAGTCTCAACCGATCCTGGTTTTGTGGAGAAATAATGCTTTGAGTTTGGACTATGAGATGCATTGGCATTGTGAGGACAATGTCCATATTTGGTCATCTTATTTGTCTGAAAATTTTGTGATGAGATGTTTCGGTATTGTGAGGACAATACCTACATCATCGTCATCGTGACCTATGGATCATACACTTGATCTTATGGTGTGCATTTTATCGTTCCTGAGATGACTTTGGTTATCTCTATGAGGACGACATTGTTTTGAGACGACTTTGGTCTACATTGTGGATTGGCTATTACAGTGGTCAAAAGACTTCAGCGATACAACTGTATTTGGCTGACCTACATTGACAATGTCGAATAGAACATTCTATTCTCCATTGAGGTTTGAAGCTGTGAGATGCTATCTCTATGTGGGAAGCTGATTTGGAGAAAGAACTCTATGTTCTGACTATGTTTTGTATCCAGAAGAAGGTTGTACAGACACCTTGTGTGAATCACTTCGTTCTTGAGAAGTTAGTCAGCTTGTGACTAATGAGCTGGTTATTCACGTTTGGATGAGAACCAGTTTGATTTGAGAACTTTGGGAAGTGTTTCGATGTTTTTGAATTCATCTAGTGAGATTGAGTTTTGTAGACTTCTAGCAGCTGGAATAGTTTCAACAGACCTTTATTTGAAGAACTTGAGGTTTGTTAACTGGAAACCTGGAATCGAGTTTACTAGTTGAGACATCGGCTCGAAGGACTGGTGTCAGAAGTTCATTTAATGAACAAGAGCTGCTGTGTCACATAACTTGACATAAGACAGACGGACACAGGGAACACGAACTCTTTTCTGCTTCTTGTTTTGTTTTGTGTTGCTTGTTTGTTGTGTTTGTGTTTTCCCGTGACTGATCGTGCTGCGTCTGGAGCGAAAAGAAGGAGCTTGACGTCAGCATGTGGGAGTCGAGGGAGAAACATTCCTTTTGACACGGTATTGCTTTAGTTTAATTAGGTTTGTGAATTTACGCTCTGCGCTTGTGTTTGGTGTGCGTGGTTGACGTACGCGTCCGCCTGCGTAGTTCTGTCGGAATTTTGAAGAAGCGTTTGATCTGACCGCAGATCTGTGCACGGCGCTTTTTCTACATGGTAGCGGAGCTCTACGGAGCTACCCACACCATTCTCCGCTGACCCTTGTTGCAGTGTACTAAGGACGCCATCTAAGGTGAAGCTGAGATCGTTTGTATTGAGCTCCTGAATCTTCTGCAGGGATACGTGTTGAGCTTGTACTAAGGTTCTGAAGTGATCACTAGGTTGGTACATTGCTGATGTAAAGTCAAGGGCGTCGAAGAGCTTGAGTATTCTTGATTCAGATGATATGTGTTTTGTTTCACTTTTGGCATGTTGGCTGTGAGGTCATTGGTTGAAGGTGACTTGTCAATTGATTGCCGGAGATGACATGTTTTGGAATGTTTAGAATATCTCGACAGGCTGAGGTTGGGAGTAAGTCCTGGAGACACAAGTGAGGTGTTTGGACAGTGAAGACTCCGACAACTTGCCTGGAGATGAGCATTGAGAATATCTCGATAGGCTGAGGTTGGGAGTAGGTCTGGAGACACAAGTGGAGTGTTTGGACAATAGAGACTCCGACAACTAGCCTAGAAGTCTTGGAAAGTAAAAGTTGAGAAACCACTGGAGTGTGAGTGGAACCGAGGCGTTTAAGCTCAAGAAAGGTGTTGCCATACCATCTGTACTAAGAATGGACAACCGTCGTGAGAACCGTCCATTACGTGAAGCAATGGAGGAGCGTTACATTGAATGGATTATCGGTTTAGAGAGGGTGACCAGCGTTTTGAGATTGGTACAGACTCTGATTGTTCTCATGGAATGGCTTTTGCCGTTGCTTGAAGATGTTCGTCTGAATGCGAACCAGCGAGACATCATGGCAATGTTCCGTGATCATCTCAGAGAGTTGGAAACCGAGATGCAGAGGCAGATTTGTGAAATGCGTGAGCATATCTTGGGTAGATACCACAGGTCATTGCAAGGTTGAAATACCTGTGACCCAGTGCTGTGTAATAGATTTGCCAGATGTAGTCGATAGGGTTCCTGGCAGTAGTGGTAAGCGTGGAAAATAGGTGACAACGCCTGAGCTGCATGTGAGAGTAGGTTGCAGTTGCGTTGCATGTGAGATTTGCAGTTTATTGTGAAAGAGGTTTGGTGACTTTGGCAAGAAAGAGAGAGAGCCTGGAGAGTCACTAGGAAACTAGGAAGCTTGGTGATTTTGGCAGAGAGAGAGAGTGCCTGGAGAATCACTAGAAAGCATTTGAAAGAGTTAGAAAGAAATGGGCTGGACGGCAGGGTGCTGCATAGGTCCATGCTAGAAAAGTAAGAAAGAGTTACATCTCGACAGGTTGGTCAAGTTGTAGTTGATCCTGGACGCACGGAGTGCACAGTGCGTGGTGCTACTGAGCCTGGCGTCATGCCTGGAGATGGCAGTTAGAGAAAGAGAAAATATAGGCATGAGAACCACGGAGGGTCGGTGACCTTGGTTTAGTTGCCACAGAGTTGAGAAATATAGGCATGAGAACCACGGAGGGTCGGTGACCTTGGTTTAGTTGCCACAGAGTTGAGAAAGTTTGGCATGAGAACCACGGAGGGTCGAGTTTGCTTTGTCAGTGACCTTGGTTTAGTTGCCACATTTGTAATGTAATGCGTGAATAGTTGGACACCTGAGGTTCAGTAGTGTGCAGGAGCAGTGGAGCTTGACGGACGTTTGCACTGACTGGTAACCTTGAGATTGGAGCCTGAAGCATTGTTGTTTGCCTGGCAGTATAGGTACTGGAGTGCTGAGAGAGAGAGAAATAGGAACCGTCATGGCACTGAAGGCACAGTGGAACTTGGTGTTGAGACTGTTGGTTGACAATGGAGTGAGAGTAGCCTGTTTGGGAACGTTGAGTTGATTTCTCAGATGCGTCAGATGAACAAGGATGTTGGTTTGAACTGCAGTTGTGAGTGCGTTTGATTGGGACATGCAGTGAGTCATTGGAGACGACCTGAACTGTGTAGGTAGTGGAAACTGTTTTGAACTGTAGGTTTTAACAGCTTGCTGTGTTTGTAACAACCAATTGAGTGAGAGGGGAGTTGAGGGTGGGAGCTTCACCTCGGCCTTGGTGGCCATTTTGGCTCAAGGCTGGGGTGTTTTCATTTCAATGGGCCCAGGGCTAGGTGGGGAAGGCAGCGACGCAGCACCTGGTCCCTTCGGTCAACCGACCGAGGATCCGGGTGTGGACCTCCTCCTGTGGGTGCTGGTTAGCACTTACGGGCTGGGGGTCCTGTGTGGCTGGTTCCTCCGTGCCTTCTGGGTCCGGTTTGGGATCGGAAACACCCGAGCCGCAACATCTCGCGTTGTGGGCCCTTGGGAAGCTCTTACATCCCGGGCTCTACGCTTTGTGCGCCGTCGACGAGCTATCAGCTTGGCATTCTCCAACCTCAGGGAAAGCTCCTTGCGCCAATCGGTGCAGAGCCGACCCAATCTGAGGAGGAGAGCCACATTGGCTGGTTCCGCAACACCAAGGAGTTCTACAAGTTCGGAAATTACTCCTTTGAGGGAGGGTCCAGCCTTGCAACATGGACCCAACCGAAGAGGAGCTCAACAACATGGAGACCATTGACGACGTGGCAGACTGGGCCGGTCTTGAGGGCCCTTTGAAAGAGGGTCTCCTCAAAGATCTTGGCACCCCGACGAAACTCAGGGACATTGCGTTCATCACACGCCCGGTGTGGGACGCAGCACTTGTCCTCCTGAGGGTGGAGACAGCACCAGTCAACGCAGGCGACCCACCAGGTCAACGTGAGCCCACACCAGTGGAGGGCTCGAGGCTGGAAATCTTTCGACGGGTGGTGATGCTCCGGATGCAGATGACTCCCGACACACCGGGGGATCCGGGTATACAACGCCCTGGGGTTGCTACAACTCCGGCACAACCCCCTTCCAGTTCACAAGGCTCCCCAACAAGGAAGATCAAGCTGTCAGTGGTCATTGACCCGACTCTGGACTCAGAGGTGGTCCAGTTGGAACAGACCGCCGTCAGTGCAATGTACGCCAAGTACAAAAGCAAGTTCGGTGATCACCCATCGCCGGAAGTTGAGCCGAGCATCGACCAATTGTCGGCTTTGGCACAACTGCTGAAGGCGAACGCTACGCCGTACGCGGACATGTCACTGTGGGGTCCACACGGGCTCAGAACGCTGCGCAAAGCGGTGTTCAAGAGCTACGTGTTGAACGCGGCATCGGGGGAATGGAGCAAGAAAGAAGCCCCTGGCCCGGAGAGCATCGTCGCCTGGGAAAAGTGTTTCAAAACATACAAGGTGGCAATGGTGCTGTTGGAGGCGGCGGACCCCGAGAGGCTCGAGGCCTACATGGAGCACGTCAAGGAGTTCCACAACCGCTTCGGGCCAGCATGCTGGGGGATCATATACCGTGCAGACACCCGCATGCGGTCCGAGTACATGGAAAGAATCCGGCGGGCGCTGGACGACGAGCCACGGCATGGGTATACACCCGCCAACCCTTGGGCTGCCATCTTCGCGGAAGCGGTCCGGGAACAGGACTTCCGGACAAGGGAAGTGGTGACCCCAAGCACACTGCTCTTGGCCCGCAACAAGTCCATAGCCTGTGGGCTGAGCTCGGACTCCTCGATCGAGTCGGCCCCAGATCGGCCCTCGCCAAAGAGGAAGAAGTCCTCGAGCCCGAAGCTCAAGAAGAAGAAGGCAAAGAAGAAGTACACGGGAGTGGGACGACAACAACAAGGTCTTCTCTCTCAACCGTAAGGGCCTTCAGATTTGCATCAAGTTCAACAAGGGGCAGTGCGGCAATGGCAAGCCACAGTCAAGATGCCCCAACGGGCGCAGTCACCAATGCAACCTTTGCCTGGGTCCCCATCAGGCAAGTCAATGCAAGAAAGACTGACAGCGCCAAACAGGCGAGGGTGAGGCAGCACCTCCTACCCTTGCCGGTGATACTGCATCAGGTGCAAAGCGCCCCAGGCGCAAGAAACAGCCTGAGTCGGATCCCAGCGCACCGCCCGTAAAGAAAGGGCGCAAAGAAGAAAGCCCCGAGGAGAGGGCTTCTGCATCCTCTTCAGGGGTGAAGTTGGTTCCAAGAAACCAGAGACCGTCCAGGTCACCACTGCAAAGAAAGCGAAGGCCAGTGCAGGCTGCACCGCATCAGCAGGGGCCAAGCCAGCTGCCTAAGCCGCCAAGCTGGCACCCGTACCGGTACGGGGCGACAAACGTCCCGCCAGAGCAGTGGGACCACAGGCCCAGGGCACTGCTGCTGTTCAGCGGCAAGTCCAGGGAAGGCGACATCGCCAGCTATCTTGCCGCAGGAGGATGGATAGTGGTGGTCGTCGACATTGTGGGCCCCACTACATGCGATGTTCTGGACTCCGAAAATTACAGGCTCATTCTGAAAGAAGTTCAGGATGGCGTATTCGACTGCGTGGGTATTGCCACGCCTTGCGAGACGCTGTCACCTCTCAGGGAGAATCCCCCAGGCCCCAAGCCATTGAGGGACCTGGCTCATCCTGAGGGTCTCGGCCGTAAGAAGCTTTCAAAGGCCGAGCAACAGCAGCTTGCACAAGCAAATCAGATGTTCGAGCTGTCTGCGGAGTCGGTCAAGTATCAGCTCAGGGCTCATCGGTCGTTCTGGCTGGAGAATCCTGACCATGGATCCAAGCTTGACTTCTGGAAAACGAAGTGGGGCATCGGCATCGAGAAGCATGCTCTGGTGCTCAAGGCGGCCTTCGACCAATGTATGTTCGATGCAGAGGTCACCAAACCGACCAAGCTTGCCCACTTCGACATGGACCTCACCGAGTTGAGAGGCATCAGGTGCACACATCAAAACCGCACCTGGACCAAGCCCGACGGCTCAGAGTACAAGGCCAAGCACGAAAGCCTTGTGCAGAGGTGGCGCACCGACGAGGGGGGCAACAAAGAAAGGGCGTCCAAGGCATTGGGAGCATACCCACCGAGGCTCTGCAAAATAATCGCAGAAGCCATGATGGGTGCAGACCAGCCTAGGGCCAAACGGCTCAGAGAAATGAAAGCTGAGGAGCTCCCCTGAAAGGGGGGCGCTGAAGGTCCTGCCGGGCCGCATCTGGAAGACGCAAGGCGGACAGACAAGGAACTGGAAAATGAGGCAGCGCTTGGGGGTATGAGAAACCCTCGTGTTGCAGCAGCCAAACTCCCCAGATCCTTGATTGCGGGCGAGGCCATAAATGAACTCCTCCTGAACGCAGCCACCCATCCAGAAGCAGTGCGCATTACAAAGGCTCTTCTGGGGGGGCAGAAAACCGAGCCCTTCGACAAAGCGTTCGTCGAGAAACTCAGAGAGCTGGTGGTGGGCTTGCTGGCTCCGGCCGGCGTCCAACTACCTCAGAAGAGCACGAGGGCGTCAACGCCTATCTCGGCGGAAGTGCTTTGGGCCTGGGGCGAATTCACAGGGGATCCCGATGCCAAGCTGCTGGCCACCTGGCTGAGAGAAGGAGCCCCGCTGGGCTACTCACAACCGATACCCTGCACAGGGGTATTCCCCAGGGTCATAGGACCACATTGGGAAGAGGAAGCGGCGAGCCAGCTGGCCAGGCAATACGAGGGATGGAAGAATCACCCATCAGCTGACGAATGGCATGAAGACCTCGTCATACTAGTTGCAGAGGCCCAAGCAAAAGGTTTTATTTCCCTGTTCGACACCATGGAGGAGGCCGCAATGTACCTCGGCCGTTGGCCGGTACTCAATAAGCTTGGCCTCATCGTGAAAATGAAGGGTGACAAGAGAAAGGCCCGACTCATTTGGGACCTACGTGAATCAGGGGTAAACGGACTATGTTCTCAGGGCGAGAGAATCATATTGCCCAGGCTAACCGATGCAGCAGCAGATGCAGTCGCTATCCTCAGAGCCGGGGGCACACCAGTATTCTTCGCGATAGACATTGAGAACGCATTCCACAATGTTCCGGCAGGGGATGACAAAGCGTTCACAGCCGCTGCCATTGAAGTGAGCGGCCAACAGAAAGTACTGGTGTATGACGTGCTCGTCTTCGGAGCAGTCTCGTCACCGACTCTCTGGGGGCGCTTCGCATCGTGGCTGGGCAGAACGTTGGCGGCCGTCAACCCTGCAGTGGCATGCCAGATCTACGTCGACGACCCCATCATGGTCTTCGACTCCAGCAACCCGAAGGGGGACAAACAAATCACGGTCAGCATCCTCTGGGCGGCCGTGGCGGGTTTCCCGATTAAAATGGAGAAGACAGAGTCAGGTCATTCAGTGAAATGGATCGGCGCAGAGATGCGCATACTACAGGAGGACAGGGCGGTTTCCATAACCATTCCGGCCGACAAGGTCTCGGAGGTTGTGGAACGCATCACAAAAATTATGGTTATGGCGAGACCGGTAGTGGGCAAGAAACAATTGCAATCGCTAGCCGGAGCACTGTCATTCTTCGCAAGCGTCGTCCCGTTGATGCGCCCGTTCCTGGGAGGCATCTGGGCGGTGTTGGCGACTGATGATGGCCCTTCCAGGGCCAGAAAGCTCGTTCACACCAAACGGATTGCCCACTCCATGGAATGGATCCTCGCACTATTGGAAGAGTCGACTGTACCGTTCACTCGAGTGGTGAGGTCAGTCAAACCTAACTCAGGTGCCATAATTATAACCGATGCCTCGACTTGGGGCATGGGCGGAGTGCTACTCATGGGAGGGGCGGCCATCGAGTATTTCAGCTGCCCCATTCCCTTTCAGTTCACAGTGAAGACAGGAGCCATTCCCGGAATACCAAAACACATGGCACTCTGGGAGGCTCTCTGCCTGCTCTTGGCGGCCCGCATCTGGTTAGTGCGGTTTCCCATTGGCTCAGTGGTCCGTGTAAAAGCGGACAACATATCGGCCCTTTACCTACTCGCGAAGGGTAAGGCCAAATCACCCGAACTGCATGCAGGTGGTTGCCAGGGAAATAGCACTCGACCAGGCCAAGGAGAGATACGAGGTCACCATACTGCAGCACATCAACACCAAGCTCAACATCACAGCCGACCCGTTGAGCAGGCAGCACGACCCAGTGCCGCCTCCTTTTCCTCAAGATCGCCTCGGGGAAGCCAAACGGATTCCCATCGAGGTAGGTCCCGACTTTTGGCAAATCCGTGAACTCGGACGCGGAAAAAGTACGGCGGTTTACCTGAGGACGGGAAGGGGGGAGGCTTTTGGGTGTGAAGGTTTTATTTAAGTGTAGGAGGGTTGTCTGATCGGTTAGTTTTTGCCCGCAGCATTTTAAGCATGAAAAGGTCCGTAGGGCCCACATACTGGCAAAGGCCAGCTACCGCTCACGACGAGCCCAAGAAGCCTAAGGGGTTCAGGCCCTTGGCGGAAGGGCCAGTCATATCGTCCCGCGCTCCCATTGCCGATGGTATTGACAACAAGGCGGAAAAATCCGAGGACCGCCAAGTTAAACCATATGGCAGGGGATCCCTGGAGCTAGCCGTGCAGGCAGCCAGCTCCGGACCCCGGGAGTGCATGGAGCACATTGCCAAGCGGGCCCGTGCGGCAAACTCCCATGGGCCAACATTGTCTAGGGAGCGCACCTGGGAATCCGTAGCAAAGGCAGCCGGGTACGATCGCGCTTTTGATCTTGTCCCCGACTTGATATATTCTGTCATGGGGGCCCTGGACAAGGCAGGGTACAGGTCAGCCGAATTGTACCTTGAAGTCGCGAAGCAAATTACATCGAAAAAGGGCAACCCTGGACAGCACAGCTAGCGCTAGCGGCTAAAAGCGCCAAGCGTGCGTGCCAGCGGGGCAGAGGGCCAGCAAAGCAAGCTCAACCCTTGCCATTGGCCGATGTTTCCACTCTCACCGACGTAAGCAATCCGCTCGCGCCAGGGGGCCCGGAATGGGCCGTCCGGTCAACGTTGCTTGCGTCCTGGTGGTTGTTGAGGGAGATTGAAGCCAGCAACACGCTGCTGGCGCATGTGCAAGTGGATCCTAGAGAAAAGTTAATAAAATGGAATCTGCCGTCCAGTAAAGCAGACTGGCGCGCGTTGGGCGCCACTCGCACCCACACATGCTCCTGCGCGGAGCAAGGAAGCCCAGCACTCTGTCCATACCATCTCATGGTGGAACAAGTGAAATGGGCCAAAGCAAAAAGGCATTCGTTCCTCTTCTGTACAGAAACCGGCGCTCAGACGACCAAGTCAGGCTGGGCCGGCACTTTTGAGGCGATTGCCCAAAAGCTGAAGCTGAAATTGGTCGGCCCCACGGGGCTTCGACTATTCACAGGCCACTCAGCTAGGGCCACAGGAGCCGTACACATGGCTCGCACCCAAATCGAACTTTGGAGAATCCAATTGTTTGGTCGTTGGGGATCTGAAATATTTAAACAATATGTAAGAGACGCTCCCCTCGAACAGCTCCATGGATTGGCCCAAGAGGTTTCGCTCAAAGCATCCCTAGCATCAGCAAGGGCTGAGCTATCAGCCATTCTGGCGGCCACCAAAGAAGCCACGGCAGCCGCAACTGGCCTTGCCCACCAGCCGGTTGAAGCCTTGGCTGACTGCGAGGCGGCAGCAATCATCGAACCTCCGGCACCAGAACCACCGGAGAATGATGTCCTTTTTGTTAGAAACCGCTCTTCGAGAGGCAAAGTACACCTGGCGGCACGCCACGGAAACACCTTGCCACATTACTTGTGGCGTACAAAGTGCTTTTGGCATTTTGCCCGTGGCCAAGCCGACTATGCCCTTCTCAAAGAAGAGCCTAACGGAGCAAAATGCTCCAAATGTTTCAAGCTCCCTTCAAATAATGAAAGCGACGGGAGCTCTTCTTCCTCTTCCCGGTCGCAGTCGTCAGAGTCGTAATGCGCTGCGCAAGTAGGACATGGTTGGCATTTGACTCATCTAGGAGTCAGTCTTTTACCAGTCCAGATTTTGAAGCCAAAGGCTATCCTAGCTGGACAGGTGAATCAAACGGCCAACCTGTTACAAAAGTCCTGCTCTGACATTTTGTTATGCCCTTGCTCTCACGTTGATGATGGTTGTTGGTTTTAACAGCTTGCTGTGTTTGTAACAACCAATTGAGTGAGAGGGGAGTTGAGGGTGGGAGCTTCACCTCGGCCTTGGTGGCCATTTTGGCTCAAGGCTGGGGTGTTTTCATTTCCCCGCCCGCCCACACCAGCTGGGTAGGGGAGTCAGTCTTTTACCAGTCCAGATTTTGAAGCCAAAGGCTATCCTAGCTGGACAGGTGAATCAAACGGCCAACCTGTTACAAAAGTCCTGCTCTGACATTTTGTTATGCCCTTGCTCTCACGTTGATGATGGTTGTTTTTTGAAACGAAACAGGAAACTTTGTTGTGAGTTTGTTTTCATGTTTTTCTTTGACCGGAATCTGAACAGTTGTGCAGTGTCGCAGGCAGGTCAGGTATGACTTACGTTACTTGGATTGCTGCAGTTGCTTGTGAGACATGGAAAGGATGTAGTCGTGAGGACTGGGACAGATGCAGAGAAGGTACATTGAACCCTGAGACAGGTAGGTACTCTGGAGTTGTTGTCAGACTGACTGGACTTTGTGTGAAGATCACTTGAAATCCAAAACTCATCTCGTTCGATTCATGCATAATGTCGTAACTTCCAAATTCAAAATCTTCTCTGTCACGAAACCAGATGTAAGAATACAATATTCAGTGCAAAGACTTCTGAGGTCTTTCCAGTACCAAATTCGTCTTCCAAAATCCAGTTCCTCGGATAAACCATGGCGTCGATAACGATATATCTACGGTGCTGTTGTCTTCCTACAAAAACAAAACAACAACAGAACAAAACAAAACAAAACAAAAACAAACACACACACACACGAGACCCAAGACGAAACCTAACGTCGCACGATCGGAGTCAACGCGAAAACAAAGGCCAACTGTTTCAGCTAATCCGCACCTTCGTGAAGAAGGTAGGCGTATGAAAAGAAAACGAAAGTGAACTAATATCACTCATGCAACTCATCTCAAATTCAAAGCAAGTGAAGTACAGTTCGCAGTCACTGCACAACAAATTCAAAATGTTCTGAATGAAAATCTTTCACAGTCAGGGTCAGGACTAGCTAAGATTGGCACGGAATGAGGAAGCGGTGAGAGACATTTTGACAAAACATCTCTCACAGTTTCATCACCGCATAGATCGCCGTCCCCCTTTCAACGTCTGATCCATCCTAAAGATCTCGGAGGCGTGGTATGTCTTGTTTGAGTCTATATCATGACATGAGGGTGCAATGTGTCTGCAATCATGGCATCAGATTCCCCGGAAGATTTTTCCGATTACTTAAACTCAGATTCCGTCCGAGTTTCTTCCCAGGTTCTCATCATGTGCCATGACAACATAATTATACCAAATGTTTATGAAAACACTCACAACATCAAGTTCCATGTTTCAAGAAACAAAACTCAAGACATGCACACAAAAACTCAAACATGAAAAATACCGCAATCAAGCCAATCAAGAACAACTTCAACCTTTCTTCATGATGTCTCCCTCAGATCTGTCAGCAACTACAAGTTCTGAATGCCTTCAAGAACATTGCTCTCGCCATCGTCATTGAGAGACATATGACAACAAAACGAACTTCAAACAACTAAAAAAAAGTACAGACAAAATTGAGTCTGCTGCATCAGTCAGCGTGTCTTGTCCCCCTTTTAAACTCAAGCTTGGTACCGGTGCTCAGCCATATCGTCCTTTCTGAAAAACAACAAGTGAACCTCGAGTTGACAAAATCAACTATTCTCTTGTCGTTACACCAGGCGAATTCCGGTGCCTTTGGCACTCTGCTCAGGTATGAACATCAGGGGTATACCCTACGGTATTCTCTTGTCCCCTGAATCTGCATATACCCTAAAGGGGACAACGCTGCCGTCCCCGTCAATGGATCGTGACGTGCAGTGGGTGAAACACATCGGACACGCCCCGTGACCTCATCGATCACCTGACAAGGTGGGGATTTAAGGTCTTTTACCTCAAGGCCCAGGGGATAGCTCATTGGTGCTTCTCCCATCTTCGCCGGGCTGTATCCCACGAACTTCGCCATCGGCAATGTCGGTGGCGATGAAATCAAAATCACAGGTCTTGGTGGCACTGCCAGTGGAGGCGGGAGGTGGCCAGAGCTCAAACTCACGCCAGGTGCCGGCGTCATCGGTGCCAATGGTGGGCTACTCTGCTTCATGCCATGATGTCCCGTAGGTGGCTGCGGAGGATCATATGCTGGAGCTGCCTCTGGCGGTGTCCCCTTTTCAATCCTCTCAGCAACCAATTTCATATTTTCTTGTAGCTTGTCCATCGATTCGAAAAGCTGGGTCATCAAATCCTGCAGAGCTTGGTCGCGTTCCGTGCGGCCTTTGTTGTTTCTTTTGAGCACGTCTGCCATAGAGACGTCCAGCGCCCACTCCAGGTGCTTTTTCAATTTGTTATATTCACCAACGACCGCACCCACGCGGCTGGTGTTGTGGTTCACACCAGCAGCCAATGATTCTGATGCCCTTGCCATGTTGTTGACTGCCGCTCCCACGGCCTCTAGGCTTCGGCAAAGGTCCTGCTGAAGAGTATGCGTACTCTTGATGAGGGTCTCAATCTTGTCCGTCGAACCCTTCAGTGCAGCGACCATTGAAGTGATTCCCACAGCCAAGCCCGTGGTAGAGTTCAACAGGTCTGTCGCTTCATTGGGATCAAATGGCTCATGCATTCTCAACCTTGGAGATCTCGATCTATCATCATCTCTTCCAGCATCTCCTTCCTCTTTGTCCTCCTTGTCCTCTCCAGGCACAGTAGCAATGTTCTGCTCTCCCTCTTTCTCTGATTCCGTCTCAGCAGCTCCTGTCTGTGCCGTCAGCGCTGGATTCTCAGACACGGGAAATTCTCCCTCTGCCGCTGGAGCCGCTGGGACTGCTGGAGCTGCCGCGTTCGCTGCCATGAATTGCTCGAGTCTCCTAGACAAGGCCTGATGCACTCGCTGGGATAAGCCGGGGCCCAAATACAGCTTGGGCATAATCTGCAATTCAACTTGACAATCCATCTACTGACCATGCAGGTTACAACTCAGCCCTTTCATGCCATGCCAAGCACAAACTCTCTCTTAACCTAAGGTGCGTGCCGCACACCTTAACAGATGAATCACACTTCCGCCTAAGATCACACTCACTACTACCCCAAGATGCGTGCCGCACATCTTGACAGGTAATATGTGATCGACCAAACTTCAATGTCTCAGACAAAACAAAAATAATGCAAACTTGTGGCAAACCGCAAACTCAATCCAAATCCAACTGCCAATGCATGCACAACCCTTCACAAAACTGCAAAACAGATCACAGTGGTTTCCGCGCGTATAAAACCCATAGACATGTCATGCAGCAAAAATGAAAACTGTGCAAAACTCATGACAGCTGACAGAAAACCGCTCAAACTGAGTTCCACAAGTCCAAGTTCTGTCCAGTCCGAAATCGTCCAAAACTCTGAAATTCCAAGACATCCCAAAGTTGTCATCTCACTCCAATCTCAGCTTGACAGCTCTCTCATCACCGCTTTTGCATTTCTCCTCGCAGCTATCGTCGGCTTCCAAGCTTAGCACTACCACCCGGCCTGGAACCATTGCAAAAACCTATACATTGGGAGGAAATTTCCTCTCCACTCAGACGATCCTGTGAGCGTCAGCGGCAAACTTGTATAATAAGTTGCCATTCTGGTCAAACTCCACAGCCTTCATCGTGCCTTGCCAACGATATTCGTTAGGCTTATACTTCAGAAGGACCCCCGCCTCGGCCTTTTGGAGATAGCCAATGGCGGTCAGTTCGACCTCAACAAGGACATAATCCTTGGCACAGAACTCACCTTTGGGACCTTCCGGCGTCCAATCATTGAAGTACTGCGCACGCTCAACGGCAGCAATCGGGTCTTTTCGTAGTCCAAACCTTTTGGAATATTCGTCAGGCTGAATCTCCTTGCCATTGTTCAAGTCCTCAAACTGCTTAGGAGTCAGAGCCAACCAAAGACGAATGGAGTCCATTGCCATTGATGCCATAGGATCTCAAAGCGATCGTGAGGGCAGCTGAAATGCAAAAACACTGAGCCAAAGTTGTCTTATAGTAAAACAGCAACCTCTACAAACATGAGAAGTCCAGACAAAATGTCACGTCAAGTCCAGCATAATAGACAGCTCCATACTTCGTCTCTCACTTAGACAGTATGTCGAGCCACAAACTGACAGCACATTTACATTCATTTCAGTCAGTCTCACGTTTTGGAACCTATGCAAGTCGTAATCGCCCCTGCCGTCCAGTTCCCTTTGTCTCTTTCTTTCTGACTTAATCTGTTCTCTGAGCCTATGCACGTCTGCACTCCAGCTCATGTGTGAACCTTGCAACGTCTTGCAACCTGGTCCACGTTTTGACTTTCTACAACTTTTCTTTTCCTCTTGGAACCTATGCAAGTCGTAATCGCCCCTGCCGTCCAGTTCCCTATGGACCTATGCAGCGCCTCTGCCATCCAGCCCATTTCTTTCCTTTTTGTTGTAAGTCAAAACTCTTCAACTCAAAAGAAAATCGCAAATCTCAAATCCCAGATTCCCTCTCTTGCTTTTCACTCTGAGCAACACGCAAACGCACAAACTACACTACCGCTCTACTTCCCTCTCTCAGGATCCTCTGCAAAGCTCCACTGCTGTAGATCTCGTGAAACTCCATGCCAGCCTTCTGGTAGTACAAGATGTCCACTCAACATGGCCCAAGGTTCGCAAAGGAAACCCTCCAGGGTCGACTTAACATCACAAGCATCTTGTTCTCAACTACATTTCTACCAAATGAAGTACCATACCCAACGTAGGC